TGCGCTGCATGATCGCCTCATATAAGTTCACATTTTTGGCCGAAATCACATGTGTGAATGTTGGTTCATATTTTATGACCTAGACAATTTACTGTATTTCCGAGGAGCCTGGAATTGCCTTTTTTGATTTATTCGCCATCACCACCCCCGCCCCAGTCTCGAAGCCTGGCATTTTTGAGAGTTAAAGTCTGTTTTGGGTGGCGTATGGCGGCCATTCCTAATTTCCGCACCGTTTTCAGCCGATCGAAACAGCCTGGACTGTAAGTCCTGATCCACGCTTTCCATTCAACTTAACTGTGTAAGGCCATTCCAGTCCCTCGCGTCCTTGCTGCTGTAGGTAAAGTATCCATGCCCTAGCTGCAAGACAGAACGGAGCACCCAAATTTCATTTCCTTAATCAGGCCGCATCAGCTTATTCCACCCCCACACTTGGGAGAGGTTTTAAGAAGTCGAAAAAAATTCCGCTACGGACCCGGATTTTTCACATTACTAATTTTTTCGTTCGTTGCGTTGTGTTTCCTGGGTTTTGCGCCTTTAACCCTCCGCTCTCTCCACCTGGCCCCTTTTAGTTTGACTTGGATTCCCAGCGCGTCTACGCCAACTTCCCCGCCTGCATGGGTCGCTTGGAGGAGCCAACGTCGCTCGGTGTTAGTCCCAACGGCGGCTACCTTTCGATTGGACAGGCTAATGGACACGCGGCCCTTTTCCGATTCGAGAACAATCCGAAGTACTGACACAAAACAGCCCCCTGGAGCTTGTAAATTCCCTGCCTCTCCCTTGTTCAAATAAATCATTGATTCTTCTGCGAACTTTCTTCACTCATCTGACGGCTAGGGGGATGGTCTCGTTCGCTGCATCTTTCCTATCTTGAGCCCTGGGGAATACGGTCTTTACCGAGTCTCATGAAACGATTTTCCTAGCCGACATATGTGTGTATTGGAGTGCTCCAACATTTTGTCCTTTTTATGGGTTTACAGTTCGTGCAAGAAACTGCAACTCTTGACTTTTTGAGACGCTGTGCTTATTTAAACCTCAGAATTCTACCCCCGATTTTTTATGTCGGGGGCAAAAGAAACGGCATGGGATTAGTCCAGTTCATGAGAGAACACTGATCCATGTTGCCTTGGAAGTATATTAAAAAATAGTGAAATCTAAAACTTAATACAGTAGAACCTCGTCCATAGGATCTGGTGCAGTTGCGGACAAAGCAACTACGTCGCAGAAGCTGGAGGACTTCTCTAGACGCGAATTGCCGAACACGCGGCAGCAATGCGAAAAAAATGAAGCGAGTTCTCAAGTTGCGACTTACTCGATGAAACCCGGTCACACATTCAAATTTGATGCGGCCGCGATATTCTCGCGAGAAGTGGCAATCGTGTGAGTCGCGAGTTAGTGGAGTCATGGTTTACAGCCCCCCCAGCCTACAAACAAGTGCAATGACCTG